AACGGTGATCAGTGGTGTTGTTTTTCTTGGTTTTCGGCGTGGGGAAACATATGACTTTTGGGGGGCTCCCATTGGGTGGCATTTTGTGGTGCTCCTCTCGGGGTCATGAACGTGCGTGAAAATCATACCAACTTTTTTTGTTTGGATTTTCACGCACCTTCCACTTACGTTTGCGTCGTTGCCCATGCATTCAAAAGAGGCCGAAAATGAAAATGTTCCCCTTTTCTCATCATGAAGGGATGTCAGTTGATGCCAGAGTCTTCCACAACTTCAACTTGTCTGTGATTCCAAGCCTCTCGTTGGGGAACGTTAACAAATGTGTGTTGGCCTCATGTACATGGTCCATGAACTGTCCACATGCACAACATACCAGCGGAATCATCAGAAGATCCACAACCTGACAGCAGACCGCAGTTCACGGCGGGTGGACAACATTGTGTTGTCAGAATTGCGGCATTTTGTTTTTTTTTAACATTTATCGCGGAGTAAAGCTGCCACACGGTTGTCGCCCGCACGTCCCGCAACTGTCACACTACTCCACATACATCGTTAGTGGGATCTCCCTCCAGAATTGCAATGCGACGATCTTTTGGCTGAGGGTCACTACAGAATTCGTTACAAACTCGGAAATAAAAAATTATAACAAAAAAAACAAACTGAAATATGCCCCTTGGAAGTCAAAACCCCTTTCAACCCCCTGTAAAACGCATGTATATCCCTCTCCCCGCCCTTTCAAACCCATGTATACTCCTACAAGGCACTCTGTCCATGGAACATTCAAATATAACGGTCGGGCGTTCCTGGGCGTTATATTTGAAGGGGCCTCCTATTTGAGAAAAGAGAGTAAAAACGTAGATCTGATCTTTTTAGGGTGAAGATAGTAGGGCTTGGGTCCCACTACGCATTTTTACCAAAAAATCGAAAAGTTCCTCAAAAGCAGGCACCTGGCCTTTCGGACCGTATAAGCTTTTTCGGATCCCACAGGGCCGACTTTTGTGGGCTGTTACGGCGCGGGGGGCGAAAAGCGGTGGCCATGCAAGGGACCTCTGAATTTTGGTTGGTCCGTATCGGGAAAAAAGAGAGACATACGGGCCCGCCGACTTTCTGGGGGCAGGGATGGGGCTGCCCACTTCTGGGAAAGTCCCCACCGCTTCACGGCTCGGGCGTCGGCCTGCAGGACACGTCCCACATTGACAGCAGAAACAGCCGGTTTGTATGACGCACGCATTGCATCCGTATCATTGTGGGATCCGGTTTTCGGAACGATACAGAGAAGATTAGCATGGCCCCTGGGGCCAAGTCCCACTAGCATCGATTTACTCTTCGGCTCCATGGTTTTCAACCACGTGCGGCGCGAGGTGACATACGGCCACCGTTGATCCTTTTGTGTATCGTCGGCGCAGGGCGATAAGGACCTATTTCGTTAAGGTATCTGTCCGCCGGCCAATAGAAGAGTTTCCTTTTCATTTTTTTGCCCATTTAGCTAGCCACTTTGCGTTGGCGCGAAGCTGCAATATTAGGGAGGTCGGAGGGGGGGGGCGTTTTTGCATCGATGTTGTTTTCTTTTTTTATGTGGTAAAATTGAGAATATTGAGATTTCCGTGGAAGACTGCGAAAAGGCCGGCGGAAGGTCGCATGCAGATGTACCGGGTTGGTGGAAGTGTGGATGCACTGAAGCTCTGTCATGATGTGGATGTCAGGCCCCGTAATTTTTCGTTTTTTGGGTCCTTTTCCTTGCATTCGTGTAAATGATAAAAAGCATTGTTTATGAGTTTTTAAATGAGAAAAGAACGCCACACACCGATTTAATCGACGCTAGTGGGACTTCGCCCCAGTGCCCAAGGCCAAAAGAAAAAGGAGGTCCAAAAAAAAAAAAGAAAAAAAAAAGAAAAAAGATTTGAAAGAACCAAAAAAAAAGAAAGGAAAAAAACAACAACAACAATCTTGTAACCGCGATCTCGTAACTTGTGCGGCGAGCCGCTGAAAGGAAACATGCAGCACTCGCCAGAGCTGCTGTGGGCTGAGTAGCGCAACGAGGCCTCTCTCTCTCTCTCTCTCTCTCTCTCTCTCTCTCTCTCTCACACACACACACACACACACACAGCCATGCAGCACTCGCCAGAACTGCTGTGGGCTGAGTAGCGCGGCGAGGCCTCTCTCTCTCTCTCTCTCTCTCTCTCTCTCTCTCACACACACACACACACACACACACACACACACACACGAACGATGGTTACTCGCTCAGACCGGGCACACACGTGCTGCATTGAGATTACACTCGGAAAAAGGGCAACGATGAGAGCGCAAGACGGGTAGTGCCTTCCTTGTAGGGCTACCACTTCCAGAATTCTTTTTCCTCTGTTTTGGGTGCTTTCCAAGTTCTTTCTCCGGTCTTTGTTTTTTTTTTCCTTCTTCTTCTTCTTCTTCTTCTTCTTGAACTGCCTTCTCCTCATCGGGGGACAGCCATGTATTTTTCTCTCACCTGACATATTTTTTAACTGGCATTCTGCCATGTCATGGAACATATCTTTCTTTCACTACGTGACTACTGTAACCTACCTATCACTAATCCTAAGGCTAAACAGGGGACCCCTGCAAGCATAGCTTTCTACCTCTCTTCGGTTACCGCTGTCCGGTCTTTTCTCCTTCGCTTCCTTATTCTTTCTTTGAAAATAGCAATTGTTTTCTTTTTTTTCCCGCCCTATAGGGTCCTACCCCTCTTGATCCCTCCCCCCCGCACCCCTTCCTCTCGTCACTTCTTCCCCGCGCGCCATCACCATACGTCCGGTACGAAAGATGTCTTCTCTCTCTTGTTGCCCATAGCCGCTAGCTGTGAAGAGCAAGTGAACTCACTCTTGTCTTTTTTCAATATTTTTTGGGTCAGTTTCTCTATTTGTGCGTGTGTAATTCTTACCCCAGACGGCCAAGACTGTAGTTTCTCTATCTTCTCTGTATCGCTTCGAAACGATCGCTCCCAATGTTCTCGTTCGTTTCAATCGAGAGCCATGCAGACGACTGAAGTTACTCGGATCATATCCGTTTCGCAATTTATGTGGTGTCATCCTTGCTCACGTGCCATGCTTTTTTTTTTTTTCGCACGCAGGTGCCATGCTAATTAGTCATCTCTGTATTTGTTGTTGTTCCAATGTTACCGGATGTTCTGAAGAGCCGAAGGAGGAAGATGAATATGGGTCTTGCTCGCGGTATTTAGGTGTTCTCCCCCCCCCTCCTCGGAGGAAGAGTGCCTTCCTCTCCTCCTGGTCGCTCTGCCCCGCAGGAACTGACGTGACCCTTTTTTTTTTTTTTTTTTTTTTTTTTTTTGCGTGACGGTTTTTACGTGCCGTAAGGGTATTTTTCGTCGAAGGAAATTGATAGCCCCTCGCAGTGAATGCCTTCAAAGCTTCTGAAGAGATAGTTAGCCACCCTAATTTAAGGCCCGTGTGACGTGACACTTTTTTTTTTTTTTTTTTTTTTGTAACGGTATTTTTCGTTGAAGGAAATTGATAGCCCTAGCCCCTCGCAGTGAATGGCCTCGAAGCTTCTGAAGATTGTAAGCCTCCCTAATTTAAGGCCCGTTTGACGAACTCGACATTTCAGTTTGAGTTGAGTTTTTAACTCTGCAGTGCGCACTCGGGGGAGATAGACTCACTCTCTCCATACCCTATACCCTATTTGTCCTTCCTGTCCCTTCTCTTGCCTTCTTTGTCCTTGGCCATTTCATCCTTTTATTCCGTTCTCCACACCGTCCTCCGACCCTTTCTTTTTTTTTTTTCCCCCAAAAATTGTCTTACTACTCTTCATAGGATTCGAGCGCACGTCTGCTTACCAACAGTTGATGGGTGTATCCTTCGGCCGCATGGCCGGATGGTTTTCTGCCCCTCAGAAACTATTGTAATGCAGAGTTAAGTTCAATTAGCAATTTAGCACTGTCGTTTCCCCTCCCCCCCCCCCCCCCCCCCCCCCCCCCCCCCTCCCTTGAGCTCGCCAGGGAACGTAACTTTCGTGAGGTATTGTCAGGTCCAGGCGCTTAGGTTTTTTTTTTTTCTTTCTTTTTTTTCCCCTTCATTTTCGTACGTCCGATGCTCTTCAATTTGTTAGCCTCGGTTGGGTAGTGTGCGGTGTGGATCCTCCGCGTCGCAATTTGGTCCTTTGTGATCATGAATGCGTTTATCAGTTTGCTCTCTCAAGGTAAACTCTGATCATGAGTCTGATGTGTGCCTTTTTTTTTTTTTTTTCAAGGAAAACTCAGCTCAATCGATTACGCACACGATGCTTCTTTCTTTTGTTCTTTTAAAAAAGAATTAAAAAAAATCGAGTGTTGTTTGACGCGTCTATGCTTCTTCAATGCCCTCAGATTGCCAGAGGGAGAGAAGGAAAAAAGCCGGCTGTCTATTCTCTTTTGGTCTTGGTCTCAGTTTCGTTCTTTTGATCATGATGAATGCGTTTATCACTTTTCCCCCTCACACGGTAAGCTTTAAGGGGCGGCATTCTCCGCCTCTATGGTTCTTGAATAGGCATTGGTGAGAGAGAGGGGAAAAAGCCAGCAGTCAACTCATTTTCTTTTTTTTTCTTTTTTTTTTTTGTAAGAAAAAAACTAAGCTCTATTCTCGAAGGGGGGGGCGGGGCCGCGGAGAGACGTTTTCTCAAAAGGCCGAGGTGGGGGGGGAGGGAGAGGGGGAAATCAGTTGCGAGCTAGTTTTCTGTTTTGTTATTTTTCTTCTTCTGCTTCTTCTTTCTTCACTTCCTCTTTTTGTTGACGTTGCTAAACCACTCAAGTCACTTCACAGAGGCGAGCCAGAGTCAAGCTCAGCGGAGTCCCCCCTCTCTTCCTCCTCCTTTCTTTCTTCCCCCCCCCTTCATTTCGTTACCTGTCAAGTCATTTCACAGGTACGCACTATGGTCGAGCTCAACAGAGTCGTCATTCCCCTGCCGATTCTTAAAAACCTGCTCCGCGCGGCTGTGGTATAGCAGAGGATAAGTAAATAGGGGCATAGGGAACTACTTAGTTGTTTCTAGTGCCTTGTTTCTTTTAGTCTGGTTTGGCGTGTGCTATATAGCTATTCTCTGTTAGATTGCGTGTGCTATATATCTATTCTCTGTTAGATTGCGTGTGCGTATACCTATGCATATACCTATATCTATATCTATATCTACGTCTATATCTATATATCAATATCTATAGATCTATCTACTTATGGATATTTAGATAGATAGATAGATAGATAGACAGATAGGTAGATAGATAGATAGATAGATAGATAGATAGATAGATAGATGGACTCGATGGAAGTTGGCTCCCATCAGCGTCGCATTGAAGCCATCGGATCGTTTCTCGTCCTATGTTTTCTAATGGCTTGTTCGAGCGCCAGCGGTCAGGGGGGGACCACCTATGCACTTAGGCTTGCGTTGGACACTCCATTCAGGGAAACTGCAGTTCAGTCGGCTGCTCCGCCTTTGAGTGCGGCGGGTTGGGCGAGTATTCCGCCTTTATCTGCGCCTGCCCCGTCCGCGTTAGAGCCGACTCCGCCGCCATCGGGACTGATTCCGCGCAACAGCACTTTGTTCCCGTCAAGCCGCCTGGTGTGGTTTCGCGCCGCCGCCCCTCCGTTCCCGCAGACCTCAGCCGGGAAGTTAATCTGCCGCTCTACGGTCTACGACCTTGTGGTTGCTCCACAAAGCGCGGCACTTTACGTCCTACTCTGGGAATTCTGCTCCTTGGAGGATGAGCTCTCTCATCAGCGCCAGTCATTCTGGAAAGCAGATCTCGCTGAAGTTAGTGACGACGGCTCTACTACTCGCGGCAATGTTTCTGAGGGGCAGCTGCTCAGTTATTGGTGGCCTTTTGGCGCGGGAAATGGTTCTGCTGTCGACACCCCATTCATCCAGTACCCTGGCCCAAATGACACCGTTTCGATGGCCGACGTTTGGGCGATGGATATCACACGAGCGGAGGATAGCCTTTCGGTCTTGTCTAACCCAACTGGGAGGGGCGTGTACTCCCACATTTCCGCCTTGTCGACATACAATGGCAGCAGAACATCTATTGCCCTGCCGGTAAGCGACGTTCGCAGTCTGACGCTCAATCCGAACAAGACGCGAGCGTACGTCGCTCTAGCCTTTCCACCCATTTCCATCATGACCGCTTCTGTGGAGTGGACAGGGATCCCGATGGACGGCGCGGAGTGGACCGACGTAAGGAGATTCACTCCAGACGGCGGTCTCGATATCATAAACGCCAACTTCAACTCGCAGAGCTTTTCCTCGGACGAGCGCTGTCTCTATTTCCTGGACTCTAAGAACCTTCGTGTGTGGGGAATCGATCCCCTTACCTCCGCTGGTACCGCGACTACCCCCGTGCTCATCGCGGGATCCGGATCGAGAGGAGTGCTCGATGGGGACGGACTCACCTCCTCCTTCAACAACTTGACGAACATGGCGGTCACTCCCGACGGCTGCAACATCTTCGTCACCGACGTCTTTTACGGCTCGCTTCGTTGGCTGCAGCTGGACTCGCCGTGCTCCGCGGCTCGCAGGGTGCTCACAGTCGAACGCTATCCCGGGCTGCGACTGATCAGGTTCCGTCAATCGGGTCGCGACCTCTACCTCTACGTTGGGTCGAGCGATGGCTCGGTGACCGAGTTGAAACTCAACGCCTCGCAGCTGCACTCTTGCGCTCCCGCAGCGCCACCGCCGCCTCCGCCGCCGCGATCTAACCCGAGCCCCGCGCCCCCGGCTGACTCGAACTTCCCATCCCCTGACTCGAGCCTACCCTCGTCTGCCTCCTCTCCCAGTCCCGCGTCCCCAACAAAGCCGGGGGGAACTCGCAGTCTACCGGTAGCTTTAATCGTAGCTCTCCCGCTCTCTATTCTCGCAGTCCTCGGCGCAGCCGCTTGCGCAAGCTTCCTCATTATACACAAAAAGAGAAGGCACGGAGGGGTTAAAAAGGCCCAGCAGATGCCCAACTTGAGGACGAACAGCACCGGCGTGTACACGGTTCCAACGACTGGGTCGTCGCCGGGGGTAGCATGGGGGAAAGATGAGCTTGGGGGAGGAGAGAGACAGGAGGGGCTTCATCCTTTGCAGGTGAAGCAGTTCTCATTTGCAGCTCTGTCCTATTGCACTCAGAACTTCAGCGAGAGCTACCGTATCGGACCCGGCGGGGCGTTTGGTAATGTCTACTGGGGATCGATGGAGGACGGCAAGGCGTTGGCGATGAAGGTCATGACAGGCGATCTGACAGAGGGGAAAAGGAAGATGTTTCTGGCGGAAGTGAACACGCTGAGCAGAGTCCATCACGCCAACCTCATCCAACTCGTCGGATTCTGCCACGAGGGCAATCGGTCGATCTTGGTCTATCCCTACTTTCCAGGGGGGAGCTTGTTCGCTCGTTTGCACGAGAGAGACAGAGCCGTGCCGGGGAAAGCTTCCATGCCGCCGCTGACTCTGGTGGAGCGGATGTGCATCGCCTTCCAGATCGCTAAGGGCCTAGCCTACCTTCACGAGGGTGCCGACCCGCCTGTCATCCATCGGGACATCAAGAGCAGCAACGTGCTGCTTGGCGATGGCTCCGGGGAGAAGTTGCACGTGGTGGTGGCGGACTTCGGCCTCGCCACTATAGGAGAGAGAGTGTTCGGCACGGAGCGTGAGTCCGTGGTCAAGACCTCGCACATGGCGGGCACGTTCGGGTACATGGCGCCGGAGTACATGATGGGAGGAATTCTGTCGGAGAAGAACGACGTGTACGCTTTGGGCATTATCCTGCTGGAGCTGCTGACGGGCCGGAAGGCCGTGGCAAAGGCACCCTCTGGGGTGGGATGGGAGACCCTATCGGACTGGGCTAAGCCGATGCTTAAAAAACTACACGTCGTTGGTGACGAGATGGGGTACCAAATTCTGGACCCTTGCCTGCGTGATCAGGCGGCAGGATTCAGGTTCAGCCGTATGGTTAGGGAAACGCTGCTTTTGGCGAGCGAGTGCATACGAGAGGACGATCAAGCAAGGCCACCGATGTACGGATTGGTGGACAAGATGGGCAATCTGCTCAATGAAGCCCAGATCGACGTCAGGCAAACGAAGCACTGACCGTTTTCATTAATGGCAGGAAAGGTCAGTCATGATGATTGACCGGACGGAGAGAGAGATCTCAACATGAAGCTTATGACTGACGAAGAAGTCATCCCAGAACGCGCGATGGCGGATCGGCCTCGTTAGTTGCAGGAAGGAGAGAGAACTGGCTATGCCGGATCATCACTTTCATTACTGGCTGAAAGGACAGAGAATCTGCTGAATGAAGTGCAGATCAACGTCAGGCAAACGAGGCGCTGCGCTGCCCCCTTTCGTTAATGGCGGGAAGGAGCGCAATTAGTGGCGGGAAGGAGACACCTTATCATGAAGCAGATGACTGGAGAAGAAGTGAGATCCCAGAACGGGCCGATGGGCGGATGGATGGCTTTCGTTGGTGGCTGGAAGGAGACTCAATCTGATGCATGGAGTGCAGAACAACGTCACGTCAGGCGAACGAAGCGCGGATCGCAGACAGCGAGAAGTCATCATGAAGCTGATGAGTGCCGGAGAATCGATCCCAGGATTGGTGGAGAAAGATAGGCAATGTGGTGAATGACGTGCAGATCAACCTCAGGCAAATGAAGCGCGGATCGCGGAGAGAGGACTCAGGACACTAATCATGAGGCTCATTTCTGGCGCCGAGGAATCTATCCCAGAACGGGCGATAGCAGATCTCTCTTTCTTTTCTGTAATGGCGAGAAGGAGAGTCATTGCAAGTGAGAGCTGTGGATGACAACGAGCTCACTATTCGTCTAATGGACTGCTTATGGTCATCAAGTTGTCTTTGTTTAGGTGCTCTGCTTCAAGTGGAAGATTGGCGGAAGGACCGGTTAGGTGCCCCTTAGGGCCTCGCCACACCAAGGTTGGGAGAGCTGTGTCAGGCGTTTTCAAAATTTCAAGAGTTGCACTTTCAAGTGTTTTTGGCCCTTCGCCACTACCTTCTTCCCCCGAATAGAACGTACGGTCATTATAGCTGTATTTCGTCTGAAAGACAACCCAAACTTCCCAAATACAGCTATAATGACCGTACGTTGTATTCGGGGGAAGAAGGTAGCACTCTTGAGAGCGCGACTCTGGTGGACCCCATGCATGAAGGACTGAAATATGTTTATGTTTTTGTTTTTCGTCGTCAGTAGTGAAAATTGAGGGTCCTTCGAGTGCTCAGCCCAGCACTCTTGAGTCTTGAAACCTTGAGCTTTGCAGGCTGGGGATTCCAGAATTTCAAGAGGAACTCTTGAAACCCCTTTCTGACACCTTTTGAATGAAATTTTGGGCTGACACCTTCAAGCGGCAGTGCGGCGGTGCAGAGGCTCTTGAAAGTACGTTTTCAAGAGTGGTGTGGCGAGGCGCTTAGGATGCATTCACAGGATGGAGAGACAGGGTGGGTCGCTGACTACTGGTAGATGGATCGTGCTGGCCAGGGCGTATCTGGGATGGGGTAGTTGATTCGGAGCAAGAAGAAGAAAAGAGGAAGTGGAAATTACATCATACATATTGGGCCGAGCTCCACTAGTCACCAATTGTGAAACATGAGAATGAATCTTCCGCTAGCACGTGCAAGGATGCACACCCATCAGTTTTGTCTTGTGTGCATCTGGTGTGCATCTGGTGAGTCATGGAGGGAGGACCATTTTGGCTCACAGAGTGCCCAGTGCGTAATTTGTCAGCTGATGGAATATAGAGGTTATCCAGAATCCCGTAATAGACGGCATTTGCCTAAGATAACCCCGAGCATACTTTTTCTCTTTGTTTTCTGTTTTTTTAAGGGGAAACTACGCGGGAGTCCCAAAATTGAGCTATAATTGCACTATGAGCCAAGATACAGTTTCAAATTGCAGTTCGGGCAACGTATATACAACCCAGCTTTCTGGCCAGGTAGTGTCCCCGAAGTGCATTTGCACAAACTGTACCTTGCCCCACCTTGTATTTTGTGCCTCTACTTAAGTTACCCCTTTTTTTAATTAGTACAGAAACAAATATCTTTATTTACAAGGGCAATATATACAATCCAGCTTTCTGGCCACTTCGTGTCCGCGAAGTGCAATTGCAAACTGTATCTTGACCCCTAGTGCGCAATTATAACTCCTTTTTGTGACTATACTGAAGCTACCCCTAAATTAGTACAGAAACAAGTATCTTCATTCGTAATTATAACAATGCTTGCAACTGGGCCCGGCATCGCTAACATAGTCTCGGTTTACCGGTGGAGAGCAGGGCCACATTGTGGCTGTGATGTTGTCATTGGGGGTTCCTCGTGTTTGGCTTTGGCAATTGATAAGAAGGTCCTCAAGGTCAGGTCTTGTGATGTATAATGGGACGCTGGACCCGTTTTCCAGCAGGTGCTGCTCCCCACCAATAGATTGGAGCTTTCCAACAACAACAACAGAAAAAGCAAAAAAAAAAAAAAAGAGGCCTGTATAGTCTACTTGGTACCTACTGTCCCCAGCAAAATTCAGCTTTATATCATTCCATCTGATAGTCGTTCATCTGCCTTCTGTTCGTGGGATTTGGATGAAGGTCTGTAATTCAATAGTCTAATAGGTTATGGGTGTACCAACTCACCGAGGCCAGTTGGTGGCATGTTATATTTCTTGATAAGCAAAGACTGATTGCATGGCGTTTTCTCATTGGTGCCTGGAAATTCCAGAGTTCAGAAAGCACTGGGCGGCTTGCCGTTGGTGGGGACCACCTCTGTCAGTTGAAAGCTCATGCTGCGGATAAACATACATTTTGGACGGTCGTTTTAGTAGTGATATGGAGCTTGTTGTGGGGACCACCTTTGCTGGTTTCCGTTGTTTGTGTGTGTGTGGGGGGGGGGTCAAAATTGCATCGGTGCCCAATTAAAAGATGGGAATACCCTCTAAAGCTGCTATACCCATTTCCAGTGCCTAACTGGCATTTGTACCCAGGAAATAGTCTCTGCAAATTATTTGCATGCCCAGGACCAAGGTGGGTCCTTGCAGTTATACCCAACCACCCAAATGGTCAATTTATGCACATACCCAAGCAAACTATGTGCACACCCAAAATTGCATGTCCCGTTCCCGGGTATAAGCATATGGTGTAGCATACCCCTGTACCCAACACAGGCTCCCCAACAGAGGTTATCGTAGTTGATAGAGCTTCACAGTTTCATCAAGTGAGGACAGCAAAAAACCCACCAAGTCACATGTGACGTCCAGAAACATGCACGACTAACGACACAACCGAGGGGGAAGAATAGTAAGGAGGGAGAAAGACATAGAGAATGGACACAAGAAGTCAAGTCGAAAGTCCCGACGTTTCAAAAAATGTATCAATGAAGCACAGAAACTGCCGGACGCAAGCATCCGATTGGCAGACGACCCGACCGGTTTCGGCTGGCTGCCAGACCAGCACTCATCAGGGGTCTTGTATGTCGGTAACGAGCTAGACTATAGACTTCTATTTATACGTGTCCTATACTATCCTGTACTAAAAAATAAGAACTAGAAAAGAATACCCTAGAGTCTGCTCGTAATCACTCAACCGGTCAGACCGTGAAAAACACCAAAGACGACTTCCGACCTAGGTTCGAATCCACCATAGTATCCTTCACACTGCCTCTACAGTTCACAGGCTCGAATCCACACAGCCACCCATGTTCTAGCGGAAGATTCATTCGATTTTGCTTTTTTTTTGTTTTTTCGTTGATTGATTGATTGATTGATTGATTGATTGATTGATTGATTAGTGGGGGGGGGTCGCCCCCCCATCCCCAACAGGCTCACACACACACGCACACACACACAGTATGGTATMTKTCYMTKWTMYA